TAATTTAAAATAATTCATACTTAATTAGACAGAAGAACAAATACTTAAAATATCACACATGACTAAATATTACATGATGAAAACTCCATATAGACATTAATGATTTAGGTCATCGATGATATTTGATGCTAGTTGCGGACAGTTTGTTCTATTATGACCTTCAACCCTACAATGTCCACAACGTTGTCTTCGTTTTGACTCTGTCTAATCCATTTCATTTCTTATACGCGTTGATTGCGGACGGCCTTTACCACGCAACATACTTTGGTAAGGGACAATGTGAGGTCCGTTGGTAGGAAGAATGTTGTCATCATTGCCAAGCGGGTACCATTGGCCAGAATATGCCTATTTAATATATGCATTTGAATGGGCAGCAACAACATAGGTTAAGGGATCTATGCGAACATAAGCACATGCGACAATGACATGTGAACATGAATATCTGTAAGCTTGAAAAGCTCCACACTCACATTTTCTTTCATTAAGAAGTACTGTCGAAGTATGACCACCTCTTTCTGTAATTGGATTAAAAGCTTCTTCCACTTCGAATCTGGCGGCCTCATTGTCATATCTTCGAACAAAATGAGATGTTGCCTCCTCTTGGTTGTTCTGCATAGCATCCATTAACTTTGTACAATATCGTTGACCAACGGCAAGCTCCGCATTTGCTTGACCGATCCTTTGCACAAAATACTCAACTAACCTAGCATATGTACACTTTATAAGAGCTGTTATTGGTAGGTTACGGGCACCCTTTAAGATCTTGTTGACAACCTCAAACAAGTTTGTAGTCATGTGTCCGTATCTGCGACCTTGGTCATCATGGGCGAGGCTCCATTTTTCTAACGAAATCCCATCAATCCATCGACGAATTTCTATGCTTATCTCACGAAATTGTTCAAGCCTCATAGTAAAGTTATGTTTGCAAGTTGTGTAGCCTGTCAAAATATTAACATTAGGTAATAGCATAACATATTATGTACTATAAAAGCATAGAATGTAAGAAGGAAATAATATTTTACCCATGTGAATCAGCTCTTGTTTGAGTTTCACATTTTTAAATCGGTGGTTGAAATTGCTTGCAATGTGACGAATACAATACACATTATAGTTATAAGGTGGTTGCCAACCATTATTTTCATTTGCCACAACTGATTTGATGCTTTGGTGTCGATATGATATTAAACAAATGTCTTGCTTTGTAATTATATATCGACGAATGTTTGACAAGAACCATGACCAATCACTTAATGTTTCACCGTCGACTACAGCAAAAGCAATTGATAAAACGCGAGCATTACCATCTTGTGTTGTAGCGATTAATAGAGTGCTGCGATATTTTCCATATAAAAATGTTTCATCAATTTGTATGATGGGTTTTGTGTAATTGAATGCATGACAAGCAGGTTTGAATGTCCAAAACACACGGCAAAACTTGCGAAAACGTGTGTTGACGACATTATTTGATACATAATCTGTTGTCTCAAGTCTATAAGCAGAACCAGGACAACATTCTAGCATTCTATCCAATCACCTTGGCAAAAGGTCGTATGAATTTGCCCAATCACCAAAAACTCTTGAAATGGCTTTTTGTTTTTCTTTCCAGGCCTTTCTGTAAGAAACCTTATAATTAAATTGCCCACTTATTATTTCTTGAATTAAGGATATTGACACGAAAGCATCTTCCCTAACCATTTCTGAAAAGTATGTATAGATAAAGTTACCTAATATGCAAGAGCAAATGAATTCTGAGTCCAATTTGTTGTGATCTTGAGACAATATTATATTAATACATGTGTGTCGACCTCCCCATTTCTTTATGACCCACTTATTATTGTACTTAGTGGACATACTAGCCCTTAGTTTCCAAGGGCAACCTTCATTACTATTCGGACATCGTACAGACAAAACCTTCAACCCAGATTCAACAACTACAAATGTCTGATGAGCATTCATAGAGTAGTGTTTAACAGCCATTTCGACATCAACTTTTGTATGAAAACGTAGCCCAACATACAACTCATCTCCAACGCGCCAAGAATTGGGAACATCTAATCCACCATACCACATTTCTTGATCTGGATGAGACCAATCGATATAACTATAATGTGTAGTATCGCTCCAAAATGGAGGTTGTGATGGACCTATAAGGTTACAAGAGGCACAATATGAATAATAAATATTACCAAATTAAAATCAAACTACAAAAAACATTTAGAATTACCTGATTCGTTGATTATGGGAGGCTCAATGTTACCTTCGTCAGATGAGCTATCATCTGCAATTTCATCATCTTCTTCAACATTGATATCATCATCGTCACTTAAGTTTGTTGCAAAATCAATGTTTGAATCAGGATGATTTGTTGGTGGCAAAATTGTTTGCTCAAACTGATGGTCACTATTCATTACATTTGATTGTGTCAAAACTGGAGGTTGATGTACTTCTTCTATTGTAGTTATTTGTTGTAAGGAAAAAGATGTGCCAACAATATGAACAACAATATATAATTCTATCATACTCATATGACTTTGCCGTTGAAAATTATCAAACATGCATGCAACATATTCATCGTTTGCAATTTCTACAGCTAGATAAAAAACGGATTCACACCATGCAAATATCTACAAGTAATGCTGGAAACAATTTGGTTATGATGCAACTTCAACTTCAGATGAATTTTTTTCTTTAAAGATTCAAAATCCAATACACGATTTATGTGAATTGTTTTTGTGTCACCTGTAAAAATACAACCTTGCTCGTTAATTCTACTACTATTATAATATAATAAGCAAATGAAAGACATTTTCAAAATGAAAATAGAAATATGCAAAATCAAGATGGGAATATGATAATAAAGAGAAGAGTAGCAAAACTATAATATGAATTGAAGACTTATAGAATGCAGAATGGTCGAAGACAACAACTCATTTATCTATATATAACAAAACTTCTGAATGGTAGACGTCACCCCTGGTGACGTTTTTCATAGTCAGAAAACGTGTTTCAGAGCCTAGAAGGAGTACGTTTACGTTTGTTTCAGAGTACCTGTGTTTCAGAGACAAAGAGGAGTTAGATTCAAACACAAAACGTTAGTACCAATGACGTTTTGTGTTGTTTTTTGTTGATGAATAGAAAACATCACTGGTACTGACATTTTCTACTGCTTTTTGTTGATGAACTGAAAACATGAGTACCAGTGACATTTTCTATGTGAACAGTGTTTACACGTCACTTTAATGTTTGCCACAAATCGTCACTTACCTTGACGTTTTCTTCTTGCCTCAACATCCTACGTGTCCAAAACTATTTAGTTTGGTAAATAGTTTTTTAATTAATTTATTTTAGAATTTTTTTTATTTATTATGGTTCTTCTGCCTCCATATTTACTCCTTTAATATACATAGTCATCAATTATATTTGTCATAAAATCATATAAGATAATGACTTGATGCAACTTTTGATATTTATGATGGAAAAGCCTATTTTGGACCTCATGGATATTTTTTTACTGTAGTTTGTAAGCCATTGACTTTGGATCATTAAATGCAAATTTTTTTTCAGCTGTACCATAAAAGTCATTTTGTCAAAAAAGATATCTCCCTGTTTTGTATATAGTGAGATATATGCTCAATAAATTTGTCAGATTTTCAAGTTTTTTAAGATTTTACGGTTTAAGTCGGTTTAAAAAACTATACACTGAAAATGTATAGATGATTAACTCTAAGTTGTCAAAATATTTTTTTCCCCTAGTTTAATGAAAGAGTTAATCATCTCTACACTGCCAGTGTAAAGTTTTTTACATTGGCAACCAATCATATCTTTTAAAGTTACTTATTTTATTATTATTTTATTAAATAAACAACTGACATGTCACTATTAAAAGATGTGATTGGTTGTTGTGTAAAAAAAACTTTACACTGATAATGTATAAGTGATTAACTTTTAATGAAATACCTGAATCCATAAGATTAATTGAAGATTGCAGGAGAATCATTTGAAATCACAAACATTGGTATCATGGCTTTTATCAACCAAATCGTGTTAGTAGGGACTCAAATTTTTATGATGAGTATATAAACAAAATTGAAACCATATAAAATAAAAAATCAAAATGATAATTTTTTTGTGTGTAAATCATAAGTCGGAAATAATCTGGTTAGATAATAACTTATGTGAAGTAAAACTTTCTAGCATAAATAAAATGATGGAAGATTATATAAGATTAAGAAAAATCTCTGAAAAACCAATTTAAAACAATTATCCTACTTTATACGCATAGAAGATTTAGTAATTATTCAAAATGATTCAAACAATTGCCTCAAGTTTTAAGTCTGCCTAATAATATTTGAACCACGTTAAAATGGGAATCGTGATAGTAGTTTGTTTGGAAGTGCTTTAGAAAATTAAAAGAATTGAAAAAATAAAAAACTAATCATTTACGACACAGTAACAAAAAATAACATGTTTAGAATAATATTTTAAATGTTTCTTAAATTATATTATAATTTAAAATCTATTACCTATCCTAAAATTAAAAATTTTATAGTATTTTCTCTTGGACGAAAACTTTTTTAGCAATTATTTCGCCTTTTCATTAAGAGATGATATTTGCATTAAATATGTCATCTTATTATGTTTTTATTTTAATTTATTCTTCTAAAACCTTTTTTTTTAAATTAAAACAATCTCCATTTAAATTTGAACTAAATCCAAATTGATTATCAAATTAAAGTTATATTTTAAAAAAATATAGTTAAATTCTAACACATCATATCGAATTAACAATTGTGACTGCAGTGTACTAAAGGTACCATCCAAAGGACTATAATATTTAGTTATATTTTATTTTATATTTTATTATATATAATTTAATTTTGATAGCTAGGATTTCATGCAGTCACCTGTGCTTCAGAGAATCCACACTCCATACCCCACATTAATATGAACAAACTGCTAACTGCCCAACGGATGTGAATTGTCTGCAGTCAGAGAGAAGAGAAGCTCAATCTCTGTCCTTAATTTTATTTTCCAACACGTGTAAAATTAATAAAATATAAGAAAATAAAATTACAATCCTTTAGATCATGACTGCAGGCAATCCAGTTCCCCAACCCCTCAAGAAAAAAGAGTGGCATGGATCATGGCAGGAATGATATTTCAGTCTGAGCGAACTAGAGCTCAGAGAAGTCTTTCATGATGAAATTCAATTATTCGAGGTGGAACTGGAGCTAACCATAACCAAATCAAATAAAAACACTACCAGCATTAACATGACTGCAAACCAGTTCTACTGTTACACATAGACATACTTCGGGATCATAACCGTTATTTGGTACTATCCACACCTTATTTCATGTCACTCTTTTAGATACCTATCACAGCTTTGAAGGAGACTGGTACCAGCCCCAAGGTTCATCAGAGATATACTGAGTCACTTGCTTCACACTTAAGTAATTATCAAGTCCCCTGAAAAAGTTGATAAAAAAAATTACTCACAAGCTCAAATAAAACTTGTAAACGATTATATTTTTCACTCCATTATCTGAGAATAATAGAGGTGAAGGAATATTTTCTTTTGCAATCATGCAAGTTTATTGTATTATCTCCACAACTTCATTTTTATGCTAGCTTCAGATCAAAGGAACATGCCAAACTTGGATAAACTCACTCAAACCTGCAGGGCACTGGGGGAAACTAGTATTGCATTTTTATTCTTGTTCATTATATGCTAGGAGACCTTTTATGAATATTATTAATGTAAATGTGTCGGGAAATCAAATTACTCCAATAGTACAGTGCCACGATCTGTTACACGGCTTTATTGACCTTAAAGATTGAATTTGGTTGTGCAGAATTTGATAGTCAATAAATTGTCAAACACTCAACAGCGCATGGTACTGGAGCGTTCAACAACCATGGACTTCAACTTATAAATGTGGGTTTCTGTTGCATGTTAAGACATTGTATCCAGGAAAAAAAGAAGAACGGCACTTAAGGTTACTTGCATTTGTTAATTTAGGAAATAAGGAGCATACCATTCTCCTAATTCACGACCAAAACCACTGCGTTTAATGCCTCCCCACGGGGCTTGAGTGAAGCATGGTTGAGAGCAATTAATCCATACAATTCCAGCCTTAAAAGCCTGCATTGAAGCACGATGAACTATTTAGCTGCAGAAACAATCCGATTATTCGTTGTTTTCTGTGATAACTTAGGATCAGCCTCACCTTAGTAATGCGCTCACATCTTTCTAGATCATTTGATATTACAGCAGAACCTAAGCCATAACTGTTGAAGGTCAAAGTATATAACTTAGGTATTAAACCACAAATGAAGAAAAAAAAAGTTTACAGAAAAAGTTAATGTAAATTCACAGAAAACGATCAACTCACACAGTGTCATTTGCTAGATGAATAGCTTCTTCCTCGGTGCTAAATGTTTTTACACAGAGAACGGGTCCAAATACTTCTTCTCTCCAAATTTGCATGGAGGTAGTCACATCAGTTATGACAGTTGGTTCAACAAAGAACCCCTTCTTTAGATGCTGCCATTGATTTGAAAAAAAAAAAAATTTAATTCTCACAACAATTACAGAAGCATGTAACCAAAACACACCTTCAAAGAAAGGGTAATCATACCTCTGGGCGAGACCCACCAGTCAAAATGGTTGCCCCCTCACTCTTGGCATTTGAGATAAATTTCAATATTTTTTCATACTGAACCATAACATAAAATAAATATTAGATATCACATCACCTTTGTTCAAGAAAAATATGATTCATATTAACAAGGTGTTTTTAAGTCATAAGACCAGAAAGAAAGGTAAATCATAGGAACATATACGATGATCAGGAGAACTGGAGAAGGTTCTGTCTTCCCTGACTCCCTCTCATAATACATATAGCCAGTCAACCAATAATTCAAACGAAGCTTTTGTATTATTCCATGATACATTCAGCTTGATCACTATTCATAATTAATGATGAATTGATGATATCATATTATCAATACATTCTCCTTTTGAATAAGGCATTTGAACATAACAAAGCATACCTGTCCTTTACTTTAGAGAGAGTTACGTAAATATATAACATATACAGCAATGAGAAACAGAACATATACCTGCCCTTCACTGACAATAGGGCCAAGTCTGCAACCTTCTTCCAAGGGATCAGAAATTTTGATGTTTTTGGTCCATTTCACAATCCGATTCAAAAATTCTGTTGCTATACTTTCCTGAAACAACGAGAGTATATTAGTTCATCAGCTTTTGCAGATAAATGCCCAGAGACCTTCTATCAAGGTGTCTGAAAACACTCAACCACAATTGAAGTTAATATGATCATTCCCATACGTGAAGACAGAGAAAAAAAAAACAGAAGAAGTTGCAAATACTTGTTCTTTTAGCATGCACACATGTCGATGAAGGAGTAGGATCTATTAAACTTACATGTACAATAAGGCGAGAAGTTGCGCTGCATATCTGACCATTTGTCCAGAAGCAGCCAAAGATGGCCCATTCAGCAGCTGTTTAAATCAGGAGAAAGGATCTAAATCATGCAATAGGTAATAGATAAAAAATTTACTCATCCTCACTCAGTATTTGAGAAAACACGATTCCATGATGCAAGAAGATAAGGGCTGTCCATAACTAAATCGCTATACTCAAAAAGTCACTGACCCTTGTCAAGGTCAACATCGTCAAAAACAATGATTGGGCTTTTCCCGCCAAGCTCTAGTGAAACAGGCTGCCAAGAAAACCACAAATTTGATATTACAGGGATTCATGAACAAAACGCAATTAAACATGCAAGAAAAAAAAATGGTTTCTATCTCTTTCTAAGCATATCTAGGTTGTTCATTCTATCAAAACAAATGTTCATAACTCACAGATAACTGCTTAAAAAATACCTTGACCAGCTGAGCTGCTGCCGTCATAATCTTGCTTCCGGTTGCTGAGCTTCCAGTAAAGGCAATCTGTGAGAAAAGTTCAACCCACAATGTCACTAGCTTCGCAAACTCAAAGACACAGCATTAACAATACACGCAACAATGCAAAACATAAAACAAGACAACCCCACAGAACTTCAATTCTCTCAAAAATTGAAAGCAATTGAACCTTGTCTACATCAGGATGGGCCGCTAAAGGAGCCCCAGCTTCAGGCCCTAATCCAGTGAGAATGTTCAACACACCGGGAGGAAGCCCCACTTCTCTGCAAATTTCACCCAGCTCCAAACACGTCCTACAATTTCCACACACCACACGCCATGATAAACCAACAAAACAAAGAAGCAAGACTACAAGTTTACAACAGTAATGGAGAACAAACATACACAGAAGCCAACTCAGATGGCTTCAATATTGCGGCACAACCAGCCGCCAGAGCAGGAGCAACCTTCCACGTAGCCATCAACAGAGGATAATTCCTAAAACGACAACACTCAACCATTAACTAAAGCATCCAAATAGATTAAAAAGGAATGCAGAAAGAATAAGGAGTTACCACGGAGTTATCAATCCAACAACCCCAATCGGCTCCTTAAGAACATAACTCTTGAATGTCTCCATGGGAAGAGAGACCGGAGCCTTCTGCTTAGCGTCCAATTTTTCAGCGAGGTCAGCGTAGAACTCAAAGCAACCAGCAACATCGTCCTACACGCAGGATGATACAAGTTTAATCGGTGTTCATCTAATTTAGGGATTCGAGAGGTTACTTACGATGTCCCATGCGGCTTCATCGAGAGGTTTTCCGCAATCAATAGCTTCGAGCTTTGCGAGCTGAGGCTTTTTCTCGGTGATCTGCGAGGGGGAACGGAGATAAGGAAGTGGAATAATGAAAGGAGCGAAAATAGAAAGTGAAGTAACTGAGGACCTTGGCGGCGATGGCGCGGAGGTAGCGGGCCCGAACGGATCCGGAGGCGGAGGCCCAATCGGCGCCGTTGTTGCGGGAGAGGGCGTGTTTGGCGGCGGCGACGGCGAGGTCGACATCTTCCTTAGTGGCGGCAGGGATATCGCCTGCATTGAGAAGGAGATGAGATTGGGAGTGAAAATAGATGAAACGGTGGAGAAGTGAGAATGAGAAAGAAGTGAACCGATGATCTGTTCGGTGGCAGGGTTGACGACGGGAATTCGTTTGCTTTGGAGAGGGGTTTTCCAGTCTCCGTTTATGAATAGCTGTCGAGTGGGGATTGGGATGCTCATCTTCTGTCTGTACAAGGAGAGATGACACTGTCTCTCTAGCTCTAACCAACTCAACTCTGCTACTGCTTCTAACTAGTAATATTTATATAACACAAGGAACCAAACATTTCTTTTCTTTTCTTTTATTACTTTCTTATTTTCTCTCTTTATCCAAGATATTATTTTTTTTACTCTAATAATTCTTTTTTTTAATATATAAAAAATCCTAAAATGAATCCATGTAAATATTTACCCAGCTGAACCTGTTTTCTGGAGCTGCCGGAATTTGATTCCTCCAAAACCAAATTTTTAACAGTTTTTTTTTTTAATTTTTTAATTTTTTATTTTTAATGTAAAACTGTTTTATTAATTATATAAAACAAATTTTATTTATTGTATTTAATTAATATATTTTACAAGTTGTTTTGGGTAATGATATCTTATTTTAAAATACTACAACGTGATTTGATTCGATTCTCAGTGCGTGAAGCCGTGAACATGAGAGATAAACCATGCAAACTTGTTTAGAATAAATTGTTAAAAAAAAATTTTTAACTTGGTGCATGAAATATAATCATGTCACACTGTTTGTTTGTGGAAAATTTTGTTTATGAATTTTTTTTATTTGAACTAGTAAAACTTTTTAATTTAGGTATGTGTATATAAGCCTTTTGCAAGAATGTAAGTGGAGGTGATTATATTATCCCGAATTTGAATTTAACGAGCTTTAATTTCAAAATATTCATTGATAGTTATCAAGAAATAAGTTTCATGCATGCAAACATTTAAATAAATTGAGTGAATGACATATATTTTGACGATACAAATCATTGTCTATTTTACATAATTATTGAATTATATTGCGTAATGATCTTTAAATAAATGAACTACGAAGCTGTGTTATACTAAAATAAGATAGTCCTAAGAAAAGAAAACAAATGTAGCTAAGAAGTCATACCCAACAATCTCGTACATGAAAATCATATAAGTAGACAGTGAGTATTTGTGAAAGTTTAAGTATGATTTTCTGACTTCTTGCCATGAGATTACCTCTCCTATTTTCTGACGTGGTATGTCTTAATTGCCTCTACTACGTGGCTGATATAACTTCCCTCAACCGTTCTCAACTTCCGATAACCGCTTCGCCATCTCTTAATGTTCTTTCGAGTGGGTGAAACAATGTGTTTGACGTTAACTCCCTGGAACTGCTTTCAACCGCTCTAGCCCACTCAAGATAATTGCTTTTCAATTTTTTGAACTACTCTCCAGATCCCTTTGTTTGTTTCGAACTCTCATTCTCCTTCTTTGGCCTACCCCTTAGGCTTCTCCAGTCCTATTTGCTTATCCACAAATTCTTTTATACTGATATAATCTCAAATTATTGTTCGAGTATCATCGCAATCCTATTTTTCGAGTAACACACAAAAAATTAGCCTAATTTATAAGTTGTTTATGGCTAGCTGTTTTGACATTAATTTTTATTTATTTATTAAGATGCACGGTTAATTATAAATAATTTATTTGTTAAATTATTAATCAGATATTTAACCGCATTATGCACCAAACTGAACTTATTCAACATGCAGACTTTTGATTATTTTTTTAACATTCTTCTGATAAATCAAATTTCATTTATATTGAAGACTACAATGAACATGTTTGTTTACGTTTTTTATTCAAAGCAATTTTGTTAATGTTCCGGTGAAAGGATAACAGTCAGAAAAACCCTAGTGATATGAGCTCTAAGAGAACCTAGCTATCGTCCTAACCTAGAACATTTGATGAGTGTAACCTATTATTAGTAAAACCATTCTTCCTTTATATATATGGGTGTCATATTTAAGAATACAAATTTTTTTCTCCAATCCCAATCCCTTGAAATAAGCCTTCATTTTATTTCTCATAATGAGGCTATAAATCACATTTATAACCGTAATCAAATATGTGCGAGAATCATGAAAATTACTGCCTTAATCAGTCTTAGAAAATCCGTGAGTGATCTTGAATTCGACTTGCTCGGTCGGATGGGGAGTTGAAAGATACATGACCCTCCATGCTTAATTGTTAAAAGTGCAAAGAGTCTTTACTCGGTTAATTCGGTCAATTGGGGATTTGGAGGGTACACAACCCTCCAGGCTCGAGCGTCAAGGGCGCGAAGAGTCTCGAGTTGGCCAGTTTAATTAGTTGGAGAGTCGAACGGTACACAGCCCTCCAGGCTCGAGCACTAAAGTGCAAAGAGTCTCACTTGTTATACCAAATTCATGTTTTTACATTGTCGAATTAGTAATTGCTCACAAGATAATTGTTTTTATTGAATAACTAATTACCGAGTGTGTGCTGGTGAAGTCGTTAAATCGAAATTTAGTCGACCTTAAAACGCGTTTTCGGCTAAGGATGTATGCTGGTGAAGTCGTTAAATCAGAATTTAGTCGACCTTAAAACGCGTTTTCGGCGCTAAGGGTGTATGTTGGTGAAGTCATTAAATCAAAATTTAGTCGACCTTAAAACACGTTTTCGGCGCTAAGGGTGTATGCTGGTGAAGTTGTTAAATCGGAATTTAGTCGACCTTAAAACGCGTCTTCAACGCTAAGGGTGTATGCTGGTGAAATCGTTAAATCGGAATTTAGTCGACCTTAAAACGCGTTTTCGGCGCTAAAGGTGTATGCTGGTGAAGTTGTTAAATCAAAATTTAGTCGACCTTAAAACGTGTCTTCATCACTAAGGGTGTATGCTGGTGAAGTCGTTAAATCGGAATTTAATCGACCTTAAAACGCGTTTTCGGTGCTAAGGGTGTATGCTGGTGAAGTCGTTAAATCGGAATTTAGTCAACCTTAAAACGCGTCTTCGGCGTTAAGAGTTGTTAATCGTTTATCATTCAGTTGATTTAATTTTTGAAATAATAGCAATTTATATACATAACATAATATAATATAAAAGAATTCACGGTGCAAATTGAAGAAGAAAAAAAAAGAGAAAGGGAAGAAGTAATTGAGAACACGACACAAGAGGGGGAGAGAGGAGAATCGAGATAAAAATAAATCAAAAGGAATAAACTCCCGAAACCATCCCTACCCCTAAACAAAAAACAAATAAATTTTATTAACAATTTTTGGACCCATCATGCTGGCGGACCTGACATGGCAAAGGCCCATTAACAACAAAACAACTACCTTATGCGTATGTACATGACTCACCTTTCTCACAACCCATCACAATTCTCAAGTAACTACATATAATATAATCTCTTAAAAGACTTTACCAACCATCATTACAAAATGAATCTTGCGTTAATTACTATGTTTCAAGACAACACCATGAACATTGACTAGAGAAAAGCCATGATCATCACCGACATCATCCAAACTTTGCAAAATTCTTGATCGATTTAAGCAATTATTTGTTTGATTCAACAACATTGACAAAACCTGCAATTAAGCATCCCTAATAAACAGATCAAGGTTCAATCCATGATACAAGAACTGAAACATTGATTTTAATTGAACATTTTTATGTGACAACGATTAAAAGGAATAAGAATTAGATACTTAACTGTTTTTATTTCAAGTTTGATAACCACATAAACCTCTTAGGTGTCCGACGTCTAATGGCAGAATTGGCTTTTAACCACGTGGTCGTGGGTTGAAGTTGTAATGGTCGTGGGAAGAGTTCTCTTGAAGCCCCACGGTGGGCGCCAAAATGTTCCAGTCAAAGGATAACGGTCGAAAAAATCCTAATGATATGAGCTCTAAGAGAACCTAGCCGTCGTCCTAACCTAGAACATTTGATGAGTGTAACCTATTATTAGTAAAACCATTCTTCCTTTATATATATGGGTGTCATATTTAAGGATACGAATCTTTTTCTCCAATCCCATTTCCTTGAAATAAGTCTTCATTTTATTTCTCATAATGAGCCTATAAACCATATTTATAACCGTAATCAAATATGTGCGAGAATCATGGAAATTACTGCCTTAATCAATCTTAGAAAATCTGTGAGTGATCTTGAATTCGACCTGCTCGGTCGGATGGGGAGTTGGAAGATACATGACCCTCCATGCTTAATTGTTAAAAGTGCAAAGAGTCTTTACTCGGTTAATTCGGTCAATTGGGAATTTGGAGGGTACAGTTAATAATATATATATTGGTATTTTTTTGTATTTGTCTAAATTATTTTTTTAAAAAAGAAACAATTCTTATCTACTTCTTAAATCACTTCCCGTTGAGATTAATTGCTTGGTTATACTTTAAACACAAATTTTAAACAAGCTGATCGTGAAAAAAAGCTATGATTGTGTATCAGCATGACATTATAGGTTTTTTTTTTCAGGAACATTATAGGTTACTTAAAATACTACATAAATGATAAGTATAACATAATGAAACTCTATTTATTTTTTTTGATAAATTAAAACTCTATTTAAGAAGGGCGCGCATTTGTCTTGGTTCAATAATGACGTATATTATTAATTTATTATTAGACGATTATTACGAGGCTAAAGAACTTTGAAGAATTCAAACCCGTCCTATTTGCAGAGTTTGGCTCATATGCCTTTTACGATTCGTGATGTTTATCAAAACACAGGCAATATTTCAGACGTAAATTAAGATGGGATGTAGAAAAAAAAATGTATAGAATAAGATACATAATTAACAAACATGGAAACTAATACACAAAACAGTCATATACATGGATCATACTTAATTACACTGTAGCAAGAATAAATGAATTCAAAAGCCTAATCGAAAACATAGAGACGAATAAAGTAAAGCATAAAGAAAAAGAAAAGAAAAGTAGCAGTTCACAAGCAATATGAATCTAGAAAAAGACGTTTGAAATTAATGTTTGTGTGTGGCTTTGGAATACTTGGTCTTGATCCAGTGGAGGCCAACGGAGGTACCATCCTTCAACTTCTTAACGCCGGTGGAGGCCACTGCTTTGGTCTTACCAAAACCCTCGCCGAGCTTTTGCTTGTATTTGGCGGTGTTGCCGTTGCTGTTTTTGCTATTGGAACCAACCGTCACTGGGTCTGGCCCATCATCCCACTGGTCGGCCCAAGAGGAGTAGTTGTTCCCATCCATTTCCAAGAGTTCCAATGAATTGATCGCTTCACAATTTGGAATTCAATAGAGAGAAAATAATTGATACTATATGATAAGGTTTATTATGTGTGTATACATACATCCATTCAATGGTTTTTATAGTGATTGGCGCTTTTAATAGTAGTTGATCAAGAAATCAACTATACCCTAATGCATGGGTTAAGTTAAGGGCTTAAGGTTAGGTGTCGTGTGCATTTGGGCACGTGGAAATATACCTTCATTTACTATATTAATATTCCAAAACTAATATCAGAAGGACAACATAGTAATTTCGTACGGTCATGTTCAACAATGACGTCTCCATGGAAGCTTCTTCTATAGAAGTTTTTTTGACTAAGTTTTGGATCAATCCGTCCACAGCAGCGCTTACGCTCCAAAATTCTGTGTTCTTATTTATGGTCTCTTGCATGCAGAAGCTTCCAGGGCCATCTGGTTGATTAATTTAACTAGGGTCAAATTCAAAAAAATAAGTCAAATAGAACCACCCAAATAAGAGAGAATTCTGAAGCCTCAATTACGCGTATATATTATTTAATTAAGCTGCTAACATTTTCCACCAGAATGGATTTTTTTATATATTAATAATCAGTAAAAGGATATTTTATTTAAACGAGAGTTCAAGTATCCTACCATAATAGATTATAGATTAGCTGACCTGAGTTTGGTGTAGCTAAAGATGCTTATGATATTGTGCCTTCTGTGTGACGGTAAGGGAAGGAAAATATACACGAAGAATGAAAATTTGTATTGTGTCGTTTGGTTTAAGAGGATGGAAAGAATGAATGAAGAAGCATGTGCAACAATCCTCCCAACATTTTTTGATGAACAATCTTATTTAGTACAAAAAAATCAAGTAGTGTACCGTGGTGGTCTCCCATTGGCCGACTATATTGGCCGATCAAAGGCAGGTCGGTAAAATGCCGATCACACAAGAGGGACCCAAACGTTTACAGAGGCCTCTCTTGGCACAATGCTCAAACCGTAATCTCTCTCCAGTTTTTCGTTATCTCTCTGTTACCCTGCTTATTGCGTTACTCGCTTCAATCAATCTAGGTTTTATGGTCCGTGCCTGTGATTCGTATTGTTTGGACGCCTTTCTATTCATTGCATGATTGTTTTCCAATCAATTAACACTTCCTGCATCAATTCGTTCCTGCCTATAACCTAGCATGTTGTTTTCGCTTTTCCTCGATTGTTCCTTTTTTCTGCAATTCTTGTTTTATTCAATTTCTGAAACGTATGTTGTAGCTTTTTGAGGATATGTAGGGGGATAAATTATTTGTTGTTTCGTGTTATATAACGCTGTTTTCTATTCAGACTCAGATTAATCGATCTTCTACATTTCTCTCTGCAATGCATTCTGTGATGATTGTTTTGGTAGAAATCTTGAATCTCATGTCAACTTTGCGTTCTGTTATTTTCAAATGCTGGCAAAGTTTAGTTTTAATTTTAGTTTCTGTGTGTTGGATTGATTTTGTGGATTTTGTTATGATGCCGTGATTTTACTGTCAAATGTCCTTGAGCAGAGGGATGTTGACGACTTTACCTAATGTTTGGTGTTTTTGAAAAAAAGTATTTCTTCAAAATAAACTAATTCAAATACCAACTAAATAAAATTAGTTTAATTGCTATGCCCCAGCCCCTAAGAAGATTCACACAAAATGTCGATAAAAAAATTGATATATACGAGTTTTAAAATATCAATTAATATAATTTTTTAAACATATTATATTATTAAACATAAATATTTTAAATTTTTTATTTGATAAATTTAAATAAATTATGCTTTCAAGGCATTCACCGCCACACTCGGAATCGCCACCATTTACCTCACCGCCACCTTCTCCGTCAACGTTTACAGAGGCCTCTCTTGGCACAATGCTCAAACCGTAATCTCTCTCCAGTTTTTCGTTATCTCTCTGTTACCCTGCTTATTGCGTTACTCGCTTCAATCAATCTAGGTTTTATGGTCCGTGCCTGTGATTCGTATTGTTTGGACGCTTTTCTATTCATTGCATGATTGTTTTCCAATCAATTAACACTTCCTGCATCAATTCGTTCCTGCCTATAACCTAGCATGTTGTTTTCGCTTTTCCTCGATTGTTCCTTTTTTCTGCAATTCTTGTTTTATTCAATTTCTGAAACGTATGTTGTAGCTTTTTGAGGATATGTAGGGGGATAAATTATTTGTTGTTTCGTGTTATATAACGCTGTTTTCTATTCAGACTCAGATTAATCGATCTTCTACATTTCTCTCTGCAATGCATTCTGTGATGATTGTTTTGGTAGAAATCTTGAATCTCATGTCAACTTTGCGTTCTGTTATTTTCAAATGCTGGCAAAGTTTAGTTTTAATTTTAGTTTCTGTGTGTTGGATTGATTTTGTGGATTTTGTTATGATGCCGTGATTTTACTGTCAAATGTCCTTGAGCAGAGGGATGTTGACGACTTTACCTAATGTTTGGTGTTTTTGTGCAGAAACTTGAGAAACAAGAATCTGAAGAGCAAGCACCGTGATTCGATCTCACAAGTCCACCTTAAATTTCAAATCGTGTTGTGTAGAAATATAATGTGAGTTTCTTTCTTACAATTTTTACCTTGTTTTGCCAATAATTGAATGTCAAAGCACGAGTAATAACTTGCTCAATTAACAAAAGTAGATAGTGATTTTGCAGATTGTACATTTCTGCCTGCCTATTAGATTCCGGCGACCTTGGTGCGAAGAGCACTTTAAGGTCGGAATTTCGACGATCAATCCCTTGGTGTGAAGAGCACTTTAA